TTTTGGGTAATTACTTGAGATAGTTTCTAAAATAAAAAAGAATTTATTCAAGATAATAACTTAAATAACTTGTGCATGTCGAAATAGTTATTGTTTATATATGAACATTATTACACATCATAATACACAAAAATTATTGAAAAAAGGACATATAAGTGCCCGAGGAAGGTTGCAATGCACAATTAAAGCTAAATCCTGAATAAGAATAAACTTTTAAGAATATCTTATTAATAATCACTTATTCATAGAACGAGGTTGTTTTTTGTAGATGGCTCTGGAGGAATTAAACCTATTTCGTGTATACGCTTAGAGCTCACCTCCTCACCCGTACGACTCTCGATAGTAGAAGAGAAAAGGAACGTGCATTATTTACAAATATTAGATCAAGAGGCATGAAAATATTAGCAACATCAATAAAATGGTGTAGAGGGTCGTACGACTCACTTTAGATTTGACATACTACTTCAAACAATTGAAACGGCCATAACAAACATGTCAAAGCATAGTAGTAGTGCTAAATTGATAAGGAAATAAAAGTTAATAATATGGGATGAAGTACACATGACGTGGCGTTAGACGGTCAGAATAATTTACAAGAACTTTAGAGATATAATGGATGTTGATAAATCGTTTGGTGAAAAAATAATAGTTTTTGGAGGTGATTTCCGTCAAGTACTACCAATAGTTTAAAATTCCACAAGAGCAAAGACTATAAATGCTGGCTTGATTAAATCATACTTATGATCTCAAGTGCTAAAGATTCGGCTAATAAGAAATATGAGAGTAAATCTAAATCAAATATTATGTGATTTCTTGATTTATGTCGGAAGCGGAAAAAAGCATATATATTATAAAAGATAATTTAGTCCTTCCTTAAGAATATTTTGTTGTCAAGCCCAATGACTATAGTAGTGGTGAAGATTCCTTAATAAGGAAACTATTTTCATCACTAAATAAAATAGAAAGTTGTGCAAAATACATCAAGGAAAGAACTATCTTAGCTGGCAGAAATAAATATGTTGATCGACTAAATGAGATGTTGCTTACTAAGTTCCTTGATAAAAGCCAACGTTCTCAATTTTGACTCGATGGAAGATAATACCACCAATCACTATCAAGAAGAATACAATACCAAATGGCCTTTCACCATAGATATTCGTTGTGAAGTTCATTATTTTATAGATGTTAAATGAGATAAAAAAGACAAAACGAGCAAAAAATTTGTATATGTTAGTGTCATGTATGCATACAACAAACAAAGCCATATTTGATCTTTCATTGCATACATGCTAGTTTTGAAGAAAAATACACCCATTATACTGAGAAACTTAAATCCGTTAAGTGTCTTATGTAATCGTATAATGATAGTGTATAGAGGTTTTGATAATATTATCACACATTCAAAAATCATGATGAATTGATGTGCTTCCAAGCATGTGTTTATCCCCACAATTCATCTTTCTCCTATCTTCTTAAAATTTATCAAGAAATAATTTTCATCACGCTTGTGTTTTGCAATAATAATACACAAGGTCAAACAATTCAAAATGCTGGATTGTATTTGCTGCAACATGCTTTCTTGCACGAGCAACAATATATTGCACTTTTAAGAAAGTTATCAATATTATCGATAATAAGAGTTTTGGTCATGATGGAGCAACCAATCAGTCATAAGAGAAAAACTACAAAAATATTGTTTATAAAGAAGTCATTGGTAAGATATGATCACGTTGTATATTTCTAAACTATACGTACATAGTAATATTATCTAACTTGACTAAATTGATCAATTTTGCATTCAGATGATATTCTATCAATTTGAATTCAAGTAGTATGCCAAATATTGGTTTTTGAAATTTAAATAATTGTTGCATTTTTACATGTCAATTGCTCTACATATCATTTTTTCTTCATGTATATACATAATTTTTGTGATGAATTAATTTTTTATTCTTTATATTTATTATCGACGAAACCCTTATGCGTCATTATTAGCGTGCATTGCACATTTATAGAAACTAGTCTATATCTATACCTATATTATATTAAAATCACGAAAGTCTTATCAAAATATCGTTCGTCTTTTCTACCTTTCGTAAGTGTATTATATGATAGATATACTTGTAATTGTAATAATTAATTTTTTTTTTATGGGTAAAATCAAAAGCTGTCGTGTGCTTCCTTTTAGGTATAGAATTCTTTAGAATTTACATTGTTTGGGAATCTTGCCTTACTGTTTTTTTTTTTTAATCTTTTTCTTTGGCTTTAATTTGTTTCCTTTAGTTTTAGGATTGCAGGGATATTTTATTTATTTATTTTTTTTGCGTTTGTTTTTTTTCTTTTAGTTTTAGGATTCTTTAGATTCTTGTGTATATATTTTATATGTATGACATTATGAAGAATTTAGGATGTTTAATTTTATTATGTTATAGCAAATTAAATCATTCAAAATTTTATATGTATAAAGCCAATAAATTCTCAAAGTTGGATTGTATTGTTGCACGCAACTATCTGTTGCACTATCAAAAGGGTTCATATGAAGGTTTTATTAATGAAGAAACAATCAAAACGGACAAAAAAACATACGCTAAATACGTCATCCTTAAAAAATATATGTCTTTGTATCTCATGATTTAAATTTAATACAATCTAACTAACTAAATCTAATTGATTATCTACACATCATATGTATCCAATCATTTTAAGTTCAACTCCAGTTCAAACAATCCTCCTTCTTGTGAACCTTTCTCCATTGGGAATCAATAACATTGAAATACGTAGTTATAATCGTAAAGTGATATTCAACCAATAATACATATATTTACTCATTGTTACCTTATATTTTAGTATTTTTAATCGTCTTTTGAGTGTTAATTATATTACTTTATACTTAATATTATATTTTGACTATGTAGGAATAAAGTGATGTGAAGATGAAGAAATTTGAAGCGAAATTGAATAAAAAGCGGAAGAAATAGAAAGAAAGTTAAAAGAATTAAAAAAAAGGGGACGCCCTTCGGTGTTTGTCCTCCCAAATGAAAGACAAAA